CTGCGCATGTGTGTCAAGGACAGAAAGGCAGATGTGGCAGTGGAAGGTGTCAAAGCAGTTTGGACAGAAAAACAAAGAACAACAAAAAAACGACTAATCGATTATTAAATTAGTCATCGACTATTTTATTAATCGATTAGTCGTCGACTAATCGACTAATCATGGCAGCCCTATTTGGCAGCCCTGGCTGATACATTACTGCAGTGGTTCCATGTAAACGAGTGATTTTTTTGTGAATTCACCCCAGTTAAACATTAGCATTTTCAGAGACCGGTCTTGTGTAAAAAGGGCCTARTGTACTTGTCTATTGTTAATTATGATCATTAGTAAAATCCCCTCTGTACTGCTGACACACATACCTTCATATGTTCCACTCTCCAGCAGCAGCCCACTTTCCTCCAGCGCGTGGAACTCCTCTACACTGATGAAGTTGTAGTCTACTCCTGGAACCTCCCCCTCTCTGGGCTGCCGAGTGGTGCCTGCGAACAGTGAGAAAGTACACAGCGTTAAAACAACAAAGTCAAAGTGCAATGACGTACTGAGTTTATAAAACATGGTTGTGAGTAAGATGTCCCCCCCACCAGTGTTGGTGACAAATCATGGTGCAGGAGTGGCAGCTGCTAAAAATATTCTGGAAAGCTCCTCCCACTACTTTCAAATAATCTGAACTTCTGCCACATCATTTTGACATAGTAATAAGTGAAGAATTTGAAGTTTTAATGGAATTACATTGCATGCATATTGTGCCACTTTTATCACTACAGTTAGTGCTGGTCTGGCATCAATAGAAAATCGTATAAGTTTATTTTTGTATTTGTGTGCTGTGTAATTGGGACAATTAACGTCAAGTGTGTAGCTTGCAGGGTTGGCTGATTTCATAAAGCTTCATTTAGGTTTGCAGTTTCAGATTCAGGAAATGTTATTGTTTGTTTCTGCTAGCCCCCTGCTCAGGCTAGTGCTTTGGTTTTCCAGTGCTGTAGAACTGAGGACCGAACTGAGTTTCTGTAAACTCATGCAAACACCAGATTGAACGGACAGTTTCCAGCCCAAATACAACGTGAAACCCACCCACCTAATATATATATATACACTCACCGGCCACTTTATTAGGTACACCACGCTAGTAACGGGTTGGACCCCCTTTTGCCTTCAGAACTGCCTCAATTCTTCGTGGCATAGATTCAACAAGGTGCTGGAAGCATTCCTCAGAGATTTTGGTCCATATTGACATGATGGCATCACACAGTTGCCGCAGATTTGTCGGCTGCACAACCATGATGCGAATCTCCCGTTCCACCACATCCCAAAGATGCTCTATTGGATTGAGATCTGGTGACTGTGGAGGCCATTTGAGTACAGTGAACTCATTGTCATGTTCAAGAAACCAGTCTGAGATGATTCCAGCTTTATGACATGGCGCATTATCCTGCTGAAAGTAGCCATCAGATGTTGGGTACATTGTGGTCATAAAGGGATGGACATGGTCAGCAACAATACTCAGGTAGGCTGTGGCGTTGCAACGATGCTCAATTGGTACCAAGGGGCCCAAAGAGTGCCAAGAAAAGATTCCCCACACCATGACACCACCACCACCAGCCTGAACCGTTGATACAAGGCAGGATGGATCCATGCTTTCATGTTGTTGACRCCAAATTCTGACCCTACCATCCGAATGTCGCAGCAGAAATCGAGACTCATCATCTAGGGAACGTTTTTCCAATCTTCTCTTGTCCAATTTCGATGAGCTTGTGCAAATTGTAGCCTCAGTTTCCTGTTCTTAGCCGAAAGGAGTGGCACCCGGTGTGGTCTTCTGCTGCTGAAGCCCATCTGCCTCAAAGTTCGACGTACTGTGCGTTCAGAGATGCTCTTCTGCCTACCTCGGTTGTAACGGGTGGTTATTTGAGTCACTGTTGCCTTTCTATCAGCTCGAACCAGTCTGCCCATTCTCCTCTGACCTCTGGCATCAACAAGGCATTTCCGCACACAGGACTGCCGCTCACTGGATGTTTTTTCTTTTTCGGACCATTCTCTGTAAACCCTAGAGATGGTTGTGCGTGAAAATCCCAGTAGATCAGCAGTTTCTGAAATACTCAGACCAGCCCTTCTGGCACCAACAACCATGCCACGTTCAAAGGCACTCAAATCACCTTTCTTCCCCATACTGATGCTCGGTTTGAACTGCAGGAGATTGTCTTGACCATGTCTACATGCCTAAATGCACTGAGTTGCCGCCATGTGATTGGCTGATTAGAAATTAAGTGTTAACGAGCAGTTGGACAGGTGTACCTAATAAAGTGGCCGGTGAGTGTATATATAAATATATATATATATTAAAAACAGCCCAAATCTTAAACTCCATTGAAACTTATTGAAAAAGGCACAGATTTCCTGTTAATCCAATAAACCTGAGGCATGTGCCTGTCTGGTGAATTCTTGGTGAAAACAAGCTTGTTCTTCATTCAGTGAAGCTACTCACAGTAGGTAGAGTTTTCAGAGATTTTACTGAAGTAAGAATATTGATACTTCATAATAAAATGATTCAAGTAAAAGTAAAAAGTATTTCTCATAAAATACCAGAACATCTTAAACAGAGGCTACCCATATGTGAGTTGTGGGGTGCTTTGCTTATGTGCTGTATGCAACAATATGCGGTATCTAGTTTTTTTTTTTTCTTTTACAGATTTCAAACATATTTTACTCTTTGTAGAAAAAAAAAATCMATTTTAAAGTCTTCTCAGGTTTTCTTGCTCTGCCACAGTCTCCGTGAAGCCAAAAAGGTTGCTTCACTAATTGATGAATTTGAAGTGAACAGCACAGCTTTGTAAAAACATTACAGTTAAAATGAAGGGAAAGCAGGCAATAAAAAGCAGAATGAATTCCATTCAGAGGGGGTCAAAGGACAAACAGAGAGGGAGAGGACTGAGGCTGTCAGGGTTACTCACAGGGAATGGTACGCAGGTAGAGGTTGTCTCTGATCACCTGCTGGAGCTTATGGTCCAGGGAGCCCTTCTGAAACTGCAAGCTGAGGTAGTGATGCAAATCAATATTCAGCACCTTACCTGGAATAAAAGAAAAGGGAAGTTCACCAGACTAGTAAGTTTGCCACTCATTTGTACAACAGGCATTTTAAACATTCATTAAACTCCAAAACTGATGTCCAGATGCACTTGTAATTAAACACATTAGGGCTGTCATGTCATAAGAGCTGTATTAAAGTCTGAGAAAGCGTTTACTATTTTTCCCTGAGTAAACAAATATCAAGATAGATGAAGAGTGAAATAGAAAACAGTGGAAGTCCCTGGTGTTTGCAAAGGTAACACCAGGGCTCTAGACTAAACTTCTGCACTGGTTGAACCAGTGCGCCTAACTTTATTTCTTATGTGCACCACAGCACAACAGTTAGGTATGCCCAAATTTCAACCATGTCATATTTAACATCACAGTTTTACAGGTTGTCTTTTTAAATTACTGTCCACTAAGGTGATATTAACTCATAAATAATTAATTCTTTACTCTAGTTCTTTATTTGAACAAGAATTATCATATGTCACAAGACATATAATTGAATGGAACAGTATTTAAAGTGTGATTCTATGGTCACATTCTATGCCCTGAAATTTTAATGTAAACATCAATATAAATAAAATGAAAGAAATAAGTGCAAATGTTTAGGGCTGAACATTTTCTAAACATCTCAAACTGAACTTTTCATGGTTAAACGTCTTTTAGACTACACATGCCCCTCAGATGGACAACTCCTGTAGTTTGGCCTTCTTGATATTTGGCCTTGGTTAAACCAACTTTTTGTGGGGCACGACATCAGATTCACWGATCATATTTATTCACCCTTTTTATCAGATTCATATATCAAAGCATGAGATCATAACCCTTCCCATTTGCATGAATACTGAAGAAAAAGAACCAGCTTTGTMTTTTATGGTAGTTTATTACAGAGGCAAGTAGGTAGAGCCAGCATATAATAGACTTCAATGTGTGGAAAAAAAAATTGATTATGGTTTTAACTCCATTGTATGATTTTATACAGATGACTTTGGGGATGGTCTGAGACACAGAGAATTTGGGAACACTATTTGGAAACAATGTAAGCCATGGAAAACTCTATTTATGTCAAGATGAATTTCTGGTTTGGACTGCAACTATTGCAGCTCTGATATTAATCATAAGACAATAAAAGAATTGATGGTAAGGTGGGTAGGTTGTTGGYTTATTTTATTTCTTTAAAGCAACAGATTTCAAACTGACAAACTATGGTAGAAAGAAACAAGAAGCAAAGTTTGGGAAATATATTTATATAATGTAGATGTTTCTTCAGTTTTGGCTAAATATAAGTAATAGGGTTACACAATATTTGAAAAAACTGATATTGATATTTTTCTCACTTTGTAATGTACATTATAGTATAAAAAATACAGTAAATTACAACAAATGCCTTGAATTAACACATCAAGTTATGCTGCCATCTTGTGGAAGATGAACCTGCACCAATCTGACCTCTTTTTTCTTCATCTTACAAGTATGTTTTTGTCTTTATTTGAGTTATTCTTGTTATATTTTATTGCTAGCATCTGTAGGGGTCACCTTAAGTGAAATATCTATTGTGCTGRGACCTGAGAATGTGTTTCCTTCCACCATGTGCAAACCTCTCTGATAAACACTGCCATTATTGTCGCAGAAGTTTTACAACAAAATAAAATGTTATTTTTATTATTTTATTTTATTTTTTACACAAAGGACACGCAGCTGCTTATTAATTATTACGGGTGTAGCGATACATCGATCCATATCGATATATCAATTTGAATGGTTCATGATTCAGTTATATCGAGGCAAAATGAAAATATCGATCTATATCATCATCATATGCTCGATGTGAATCGATATCGTATGCCCATCTAACACCGTTGTTGTGTTAGATAGGCATATGATATTGCATTATATCAATCGCAGACATGTGAATTGAATTGAAATCGTATCATAGACTTTGTGATATCGAGAAATATCGAATCGTCATCCAATCGTTGTAATATTGTATTGCGATAAAGCTGGTGATTTACACCCCTAATAATTATCCTAATCAATTTGAGATTTGACATGTTGAGTGTCACTGACTACTATTTTATCCCTTTACATGTGGACAAAATTTTTGGTACCCCTCATTTAATGAAAGTTTTTTTTGACCCACTCCTCATGAGCAAACTGCTCCAGTTGTCTCAGGTTTGAAGGGTGCCTTTTCCAGACGGCATGTTTCAGCTCCTTCCAAAGATGCTCAATAGGATTTAGGTCAGGGCTCAAAGAGGGACACAGAATAGTCCATTATTTTTTCTCTTAGCCATTTTTTGGTGTTTTTAGCTTTTTTTTTTTTTTTGCGTATTGCATATATTTACTTACACTTTCACACAATGTTCTACATTCCAACATGTGCGTGGAACCAGGCGCATGCAACTTTTTTGTGCATACGCACCACTGATACATGAGGCCCTGCATCAGGARATGTGGACAAACCAAAGTTAGATGGAAAATAATGAGCCTCTTGGTGAGATCTGTTTTTAGTTTCCAATGGAGCATCAGTCAGAAAGCTAATTGAGGTCCTGAGAATATATTTTAACGTAATAATTTTACTTCCTATAATGCTGAAAAATCAGCATTTGGAGCTTTTACTTTCTATATAAACTTTTTTTGACTGAACTAGTTCAGTAACTGGTGGAGCAAAGTAAAGCRTGACTCATCATTATGTAATTCCATGGAGTTTTAAATGGCACAACAAATTTGACAAATTCAGGTCAAGAAAACAAAAGCTGGGCCTGGCCATGAATCAACTCAAAAGCCACAAGCTTGTGGTTTGTGTTCTGAGAAGCTGTGAGAGACACCCCCCCCCCCCACACACACACACACACACACGCCAAACTCCAGTACAAAAACATTTCCTCATTCCCTCTCAATGGCTAAATCCAAGTTAAAAAAGAAGGGAGTTATTATTCTACCACCAGAGACACAGCCTGCACGGATAAACTGGTTTCTGTTTGCATAGCAAAGGGTGGCAATTGTTGCCAAAACTGCAACTGATAGTAGATACCCCACTGAAGGAGTAAAAATCAATTCTTATTTCTTGTATACTTTTCAGACATATGCAAATCACCTCCCTCAAAGCAGACTCTTATAACAGTGTTGTCTTTGTTGCCCCGCCTGTCTAGTTGCATTAGTCCATTATGTCATATCTCCAAAAATGGGGAAAGAAAGGGGAAGGGRAGAGGGAGAGTGGCAGTTTCCCATTAGGTTACAAGGTAGTGCATCAGTGCCCTTGCATGCTGCTGGTGCAAGGCATGTGTGACACAATGGGAGCCTTTGTGGTTGTTCATCATGTGGCTTTGAAATGCTCACTCACATAGGGGGAGTTGGATGGATGAACATGAGGGTGGGGGGCTGCAATTCAACAATGGGAAATTATTAAAAATGAAGGGGGCAGAAAAGGAAAGCAGTGGTGGGAGTAGCAACACAGAGAATGCATGGGAACAAGTAGATCGTCACCATTCTTCCCTCCACTTGCAATTCCATCCTCTCTCTATCCCTTCATCGCTGACCTTGCTCCTGCACCTTCCTCAGCGTGGAGATTCATCAGCTGTACCAGATCTCCACAGAGCTCTTCATACCTAGAGCTGAGATCGTATTTTGACTTGCCATCAGCCTTTTTTCCCCCATTAACTCCACTTTCACCAGATAGTTATTACCTGTCATCGCAACTGTTCTCTGCCTCAAAGTTCTGATGGGATAAATGTTAAACCAAGCAAAGACCATGCCTAAATCTAAACTTAAAACCTACACTGAACTGTCATTTGAATCATGTGAAAAGTTTCTACAATTTTTTTGTGGATAATTCTCATGCTCAGATAGTTTCCCCCCTTACTTCTGCCCCAGCAGTTTTCTGCTCTTCTGTTTTTTACCAGTTGAAACCAGTGACTTTAGACTGGTTAAAGGAGATTATTGATTATCTTAAGTCCTCAGGCTCATCTATGGATGTGCTTCCACCTAGGGTTTTCAAAGAGATAATTTCTACTTTGAGGTCTTATGTGCTTGCTGTTAGTAGTCTGTCCTCAGGTTTTTGTCCAAATGCTTGGAAACATGTTATAGTACAACCTTTGGTTTAAAAACCTTGTCTGGATCACACTGTATTGTCTAATTTTAGGCCCATCTCCAAGCTATCATTTCTTTCAAAAGTGTTGGACAAAATTGTCCACATACAGTTGTACTTTTTAACAGCAAATAATATTCCTGAGGTTTTTTCATTCTAGATTTAAATCATGTGGACACAGAAGCTGCATTGCATATGGTTTTTAAAAAATATTATTTTAGCCACAGACTCTGAAAATTGTGTGAACTTGGTTTTATTGGATTTAACAGCTGCATTTGATACTGTAGACCACAAAATTACAATTTCCTACCTAGAGCATCTTTTAGAAATTTGAGGGATTTCACTAGCTTGGTTTAGGTCCTACCTGACAAAAAGGACATTTTGTGTCAGCCTGAGTAGCTTCAAATCTTCCTCTGTTGCTCTTTCTTGTGGAATTCCACAAGGTTCAGTTCTTGGGTCTTTTCTTTTTTCATTGCATTTGCTTTCCTTGGGTTCCATCTTTATAAAACACAAATATTCTTTTCATCTTTATGCTGATGAATGCCAGGTATATTTTCCCTTGAAACAAGAGGAAAGATACCCTTCAGTCAATGTCTGAAAACATTGATGAAGTTATTTATCTATTTATGTACCGTTTAACCAGGCAAGTCCCACTGAGATCTCAGATCTCTTTTTCAGGGGAGGCCTGGGCCTGAAGGCAGCCTATTGTACATGTTTTTAGGAGTGGGGGAAACCGGAGTATGTTGAAAAGTGACTAGCAAAAAAATTTAATGAGCTGCAGGAGATGAGTGCATACAGCTTGAGCTGGACTGAGCAGTCTAAAATGAGCAGCAGGGATGGAGTCAAGACCGGCTGTTCCAAGACCTGTCTCAATTTATTATTTATTTATTATTATTTACCGTTATTTAACCA